GACTCCTCTGCATGGTTAAAAGATTTATCATATTCAGTTTCGGTGAAAAATATATTAGTCAGTAACTCGGCATTGCTTCTACTTATAATTTTCAAACTATACATTTATCAACAAAGTGTAACAGAATATATTAACCGAGGAGGACCCACAATTGGCTTGAAGCCAATGGCTAAAAGGACAACATGCGCGGATATCCACCAACTAAACAATTTTTCTTTACAACAATATGGCATTAACTTCCATCTACTTATATGGCCATCACCATATATCGACAATAGAATGCCTCGGAAAAAAGAACTGCCACCGGAGTGGGCAGAAAATTAATGTCACACATTTACGCATGACGTGGCAGTCGTCGTGTAACGCACACCCGGATAATTTTCAATATTTCGCGTTCCTCCCGTGCCGGTGCCGGTTTCCCCTGTCTGTTGAGGTTTCGCTTCCACCTCGTTCGATCTTTTATCCGGGCCCAGTGGCGAATTCATTCACGACCGTGTCGAGTGCCCGGTATCATGCGCGAGAGGCACGTTCGGCGACGAGGACGCCGAATAAATGTTACCCAATGGAGCCTGATCGATCTTTTCTTCGGCTCTTCTGCCATCCCTGTGCTACCCCCGCCCACGTAGCTCGTTCTACCCCCGCCCCCCCCCCCCCGGCCCCCCGGCACCGTAATTCGTATTCTACGGCAGTTGTATCCCGGGATCGCCCGCAGCTCCCAGAGCAGCAGCCAGCTCTGTGTTTGCCGGCACGTCGGATAGTTAGTCGATGATGTCGGACGACTAATGCGCCGTAGGAAGTATCGACGTATCTCTCCCAGCAGTAGCGAGCCCCTTGCACGTGTTCCACCCTTCTCGCAATTTTAGAACCCGATGGCCGCCGCCGCTGTGGCGTTACAGTGTCGCCCACTAGCATCTATATCTCGAGATCCGACGATGAAACCGCTATGCGCGCTCCGATTGGGGTGGAACACCGGGCTTTGTCTCCACGTCGTTCACCAGACGACTGAACGCGACGCAACCCCGGATTGCACGAGTTCCAGGCTGGTTTCAGGGATGAAGAGCGCGTACGCGAGCAACGGTGACGCTTTCCTTGAAAAATTGGGTAGTTGGTTGATTCTCGGTTCTGGGGGAAATTTGTTTTTAGGGGGAGTAGTAAGCAAAGTGATCGATAATTTTATTGTTTAGTTTGTACACTCTTTGGAGACAAGATGTATATATTTCCCGCGTTTCTACTCATTTTCTTTGCGTTTTACTTCGCGACAAAATTTTGACAGAGGTCTTAGTACCCCGTTTTTCCATGCCAAAATATTCAAAGATGCCTTTGAATTTTTCTTAAAAATTGGCACGAGCTTTTTGAACAACCCAATACGTCTAGTCGTGAAGGTCCCTTAAACAACATTATCTTCCACCTTTAATTATAATTATGTCTATTTTCATTTAAAATAAAAGTATAACTCTTATTAAAACCAAAATCTTAAACCCTCTTTTAAAAAACCCTCTATAAAGTAATAACGTATATCCTTGTAAACATACATGGTGTGACAATTAAATTGAAATGAAAAGTACCCACACGTTGTACAACAATCAACAATCAATACTCGTGTACGAACTTTATGGGTACGATACTGGCTCGTCTTTTGAAGAACTAGTATCAATCATCGATGACCGTGTCCAGCATCACTCGAGGCAATAATACCATCGTCGGATTTCTCGCTCAACTTTCCGGTCGTCATCTGTCCATGATGGAACCGATCCGACCTTTTCAGCGTCGCGCATAGATTTATTGCACCGGAATGACAGATCGTCGGATAACGGAGGAGTCTCGCGACAAGCGAAGCATTTCGTCGATTCGACGGCAAATCGATACCCGCGTTTCCGAAAGATTCTAAAACGGATAACCCGTGAAAGCTCGCTGACTCGTAATAGGTATCCTCCGCGGCCAGGTGCGAGGACGACGAATTAATTAATGGGATCGGGTGACCGTAATTAAGCTTAATTAGCCTGACCCGTTGCTAACTGTGTTTATGCAACGGCAAAGTAGCGGGACGAACCAATACGTCGATCCAGCATTATCGACACGGCGTATCGATGAGCAACGACCTTGATTAACGCGGAACAAATTAAAAATCGCGCCATTTCGACGCGACGATCCTGTTTGCGACTCATGCAAGTGTGCGAGACCTGTGTTTTTATTTTATTTTATTTTACTTTTTCTGAGAAAAATACGTCTGCTTATGCTACATGGTTTCCACGCCCATTCCACGAGGAAACATCCGCAATATCCCGCCAGAGGAAAGGCTTCCGACGACCGCGGAGTCCCTGGAGTTTTGGCAACGAAAAACCGTCGACGCTATCGACCACCGACTCGGTTCGATATTTGGGACGAGGCTGACCGCCGTCTGCCAAATTCTTTCTTCCTCGAGCTCCGACTGAACCCCGCCATAGCCGGAGGACCCCAGAAGTCGTTCAAAAATCGCGTGGCTACTCGCTATTCCACTTCGAGGGGCAAACCCGTTTCTCTAAGGACAGGAAAGAGCTCTGTGCTGTCTTCAGCCGAACTCGAAGCTTCCACTTGAAAATGTAAACCATCAAATATGTACGCAAGAAATACTAGACTCATTTTCTATAGGAAAGGGTCTAGCAAGATAAGGCAATAGGCAATCGGTCCACACCACAATTTTCATTGCTATTAGGTGCCATGTGTAACACCTACGAAAAAAATCAGGAATGATGATCGGTTATTCAGCTGACACGTGTACAAACTTCAGAACGGTCGGAGTCCTGGAACATGGTTTAATAATTAAAAAGAAACAAAAATCCCATGCGTTACGCTCCGTGCAATGTGCCGAAGTAGAATGAGATAATGGTCAGACACGCTACGCGTATCGTTACAGCTATGCATACGACAAGGAGGAAACCAGTTTCAACAATTTTGTAATTGATATCATACAATTTTCCTTAAAAGTATTCTATTTATTATTTCGTAAGCGATATCTAAATATTATTTACAAACACGCGCTGTGCGTCGCTCGATAGATTGTAACTTAGTTGTAAATACTTAAAAAGAAACAAAACTGGCGATATGAAACGAACTAAATGTCACGTGAAGGTCAACATATTGAACCTCGATAGATTTATTTCTTATAAGCTATTAGACTGTGTAGTGAAAATATGCAGTTCCTGTCGTAACGACGCGCCTAGTGTGTCTGACCATTATCTCATTCAACTTCAGCCCATTGCACGGAGCGTAACGCATGGGATTTTTGTTTCTTTTTAATTATTTAACCATGTTTCAGGACTCTGACCGTTCTGAAACTTTTACATGTGTCAGCTAAATAACCGATCATCATTCCTGATTTTTTTGGTAGGTGTCACTCACGGCACATAATAGCAATGAAAATTGGATTGGGAGCCGATTGCCTATCCTTATCCTGCTAGATCCTTTCCTTATCTGCCCTTTTAACACGTTAACTGCCAGACAAACATTCTTGACAATTTCTGTTAGGATTAAAAACTATACAACCAAACATATATCGTGGTATCTATTTTTGTAATATCATCAGAATTTATGAATTTCATTCAAATTTATTTTCTTTGATGCTTAACTCTCAGAATTAATCTGTTTAGTTCATCAGTGAAAAGCATCGTCACCCATGTATGAGCGACGTGGCAATCAACGTGTTGACTGTGACTATGCTCGCAGCAAACTCAGTAGCCTTTGACACATCTCAAAAACTAACTTTTCACACCTGTTGGAGATTTTTAGAAAAATTCAACCAGCACCCATGGGATACTTTCTTGTAATTTATGACGATAAAAGAGTTTCATTTAATTACATTTATAACTACTACGAAGGAAGCTGCATCCAGTGGCTAATATTTCCGAGGTAAACGAAATGGATCTCCGGTCCGTTGACGCTTCGGCTACGTTTCGGTTCTCCCGTGGCTGCTCGCTGGCTATCGATCGCCAGAACGAGCCCTTCTAACTTATTCAAGGTATCCCGATTCCCCGTCGATGATGTCTATTCTATTCGCGGCTCGATGCCGCGAATACTATCCATCCGGTCGTAATGGAAATAGAATGCTACCCGAATGGCATGTGACAGTCCTCTAATCGAATGGAAATGCCGAATTAGACCGTCCGTGTATTCGGCCCCATTAGAAGATTTTATTCGATTGGTCGTTAGTCGGCCCTTCCATTGGAACACCGCCTGAATCATTTACGGCTTCGAATATATCCGGTTTCCTCTGGTTAGGAGCTTCGACCACCTATTGCGTGAATTTTACTTTATTTTCTGGAGAAGAAATTATTCTTAGCTCAAGTCGTTGCACTTGAAGCTCTATGCATTTCAGACGGAATCAGGGTGTATTTATTGCAAAGCAAATCGAAAAGAATTAGTGAAACTCAGAGTTACACGGAACGATTAGGGTACAAATTGGGCCCTTCGGGGAGCAACCGATTGTTCGAGGCGCGGGATCGTTGCGTAAGCACGTAAACAGCGGCGTTTTAGCGCGAGTGACCACCAAGAATTATTTTGGGAAAAGCCACGGCTGTTTACCTCGCCAGGACCGCCTCAGAATTCACGAGCAAAGCAATCTTCTCGTAAGCAAGAGACTAGAGGCATTAATGTTTTAAAAATTATGAACGATCGGGATTGGTACCCAAGAATTGCTCGATTATTCTCAGCTGGCAGAATGTTTCGTCTTTCATCAGAGTCCCCTCGAAGAATATGATCGCCTTTCCGTCTATGCATATTATTTATTAACTGCAACTTAATCTGTATCGCGATTTTCTATTCTTTAAATAGAGACTGAGCGAAATTTTATTTGAATAACTTATGTCGAATTGAACCAACGTGACACGTCAGAAGTTATCCATTTGTGAGGTGTTTTCGGTTAAACGGATATTTAAGAAGTTTCGTTTAAAACGGAAGAGTATTTCATTATGCAATTAGAATTATCATAACTAGAATCTCCTATCTTTTGATCGATGGACGCTTACCTTGAAGGAAGATCACATACTTTTCCCGGTTAACCACGAGTGGACACATCAGACATCCTTCCGATTTACAGACTGGAGAACCTGCACGAAAGATAATTAAATTAACATATTAAAAGTATTAAGATATTATGTGAAAAAAACTTAACAATTTTTAGTCCCCTAAAGTAATGCCCAGCCTATTAAACAATTAGAAACCATACTAATAACGATAATCGTGAAATAGACAGGGTCATTTTTCCAAATTTAATCCTTCGTAATAGCTTGTCTCTACAATCAGACGAAAATTATTAATGTGGCTCTTGTTATTATAATTTGATGTGAAACAAAAATATACGCGAACCACGATGCTGAAAATGTTTTTTGTAGCGAAGCAATCTCGATGAAAAATATGAAAATTGTTGTGTATTGTGAGAATACATTCCCGTTCGTCCAGCCCCTCAAAAAGTACAACACATTAAAATTTGAATATTTTTGGTAATAGTAATAACACGAACGACAGAAATAAACGAAGCCGGCGATGTCATTCGTACGGATGAGTTTCACTGGTTGCGATCGCATCGGTCCCCGCTACGCAGACGCTGATAATTGATAGCGTCGAACGATATCATTAGGCGTGCACAACCAGGAAGAAATTAGCACGTGAAACGACGAGCCCGATACTTACAAGCCCGATGCAGACTCGGTGGCACGGCGTGCCACGAAACTGCGCGCGCGTTCCTGGCTCTCGTTTTGAATAATCGCACCCCTCTCCCCTGCCCGAGCCCCACGAAGTCTTTTCCAGCACGGTAGGAACGCGAACCGCGGAGGAAGTCGATAAAACCGTGATATCCTTTGCACACAATACGAAAGAAGGAGGAGGGGGCATAAAACAGGGACCCCGGAGAGCCCCGTAATTACAAAAGTCGCCGCGCCGTATTATTATGCACTTAAATCTACCTGACTTATAATAAATTAGAATACATTACAACAAAGTATGAAATTGGGAAACCGTATGGACGAGTGACGTGTTTCGAGCACGACTCGTATATATCTGGATAGCCGGCTTTTATCGATCTTATCAAAACTGCATTCGGAGCACCGAGTTTCTCTTTCGCTCCTCCGACGGAGCGAGCAGGGCCGTGGTAAAAACCGTATTATCGATCATTCCTAGTGGCAATTTGCATGCTCAACGACCAGCTTTTGCCCTCCCTCCAGCTCCCCTGGGTCGACACTGACGTGCGTGCATCATCGAATCCTCATCAACGACGGCATCTCGTCGACTCGAGTCGAGTCGAGTCTTGCGGAGATGCGACCAGTTTTTGCCAACTGGTAACAGCTAACAGCGAGTGGCACGGTTTCGCGTCTAACTACCAGTATTACATACTGGCGACCCAGGCCATTACACGCGAGCATTCTCGATTGCTCGGCTGGGAGCGTCTTCCAACGCGGAAGTCGACGTTCGAGGCAGCCAGACCGCGATACCCATTCTACGCTCGACGACGAACATGATGAAACCTGGAGTTTTGGTGTTCATCAAAATCGGTGCCAAATTATGCGATTAACCACTGTGATGGTTATAGAAATCAGGTATTTAATTCTGTAAATATGATCTGTCGTATGGGATACGTCCATAGAGTTGAGACTCAGTGGGTCAGTGATTAGTGATGGCCCTTAAGAGTCTTGAAATTCAAAATTTTTCGACGGAAAAGAAAATTTGTCACTAACACGAGGAAAAAAACTGGCCACTGAATTTTTAATACGTTGACTGCCAGACTAATAATCATGAAAATTCCTACGAGGAATTTTGTTTCTGTATAATTATTCCTCAGCGAAAATCCTTGTCACCCATATGTGGGTGTCGTGCCAGTCAACGCGTTGACGTACTATGTGTCACTGAAATATTTATTCAAGGCATCCATGGATTTTCCTCTTAGAGTGTAATATTGATAGCTCTAAAAAATAATATTTAATCCCCTGCGCACTAATAAAGGCATACACCGACGATAATACTCTCATTGAGTTTCGTACCGGAATATATACGGGAGAGCCCCGCGGATCGATGATCGCTTTACGCGGATATTTTTGTCGCGCATTGCTGGTTCCAGCTTGTACGCTTCCACTGCGGCGTTTTTATCATTGTCACCGGTTTCCTTCCTTCGTTTGTCTCGAGCTGGCTGGTATCGACTACTGCACAGTTAGTTGGAGAGCTACGATTCCTTTTTTCTCCCATTTCAGTGAACGGGAATGACCCCTTGTGGACGTGATAGCGGAATTGGACATCGACTAAATTTTTATTAGAGTAGACTTTTGCTTAATTATTACGATCCACCGTTCACTGGACATTGGAAACATACTCCCAAATTATCCGTACGGCTGATTTATATTATTTAACTGAAAAGGGTTCTACAAATAGGCGATGGAAACATCGTGGTAATAAATAAAAGACGTATCTGAGATATCTGAGAGATATTAACTAGAATAATTGTTATTTTATAACACTCCTAATGACGGTAACGTTACATGTAAATTTGGAATTATTACAACCAAGACAGAGGCCACGTTGCAGATGAGAATAATTTAAAATCGTGGAATAACTTAAATATGGTGTTCTTATAATACGACTCAGGAATATATTGTAATAATAAATATGTATAGGTCCCCGAATGATTCGACTTTAAGCTTTCAGGAAAAGTCTCGACAAAAACGCTTTTGTACGGTGCTGTACTTCGGCGAGATAACAATTCTAGTAAACGTTGGTTTGCTGATACGAATTCACTGAAGTACGCAAATCTTCCCTGTCGCTGAGGGGATAAGTTCGTCTCTTCGGTCGAGAAGTCCACTTCAGACACTTCCAGCAACGTCCAACTTCAGAAGGCTGTAACACGGGAAGAAAGCACCTGCACACCTATATTTATAAGACACTTTCTCTTCGCTGCAACGAGTGGGGCGTAATTTGGTAATTTACTCGCGTGACAGCTTACACGGCGAGATTAGAATTATGATCGAAGACCAAACTGTCTGGAATATGTGTCTCGATGCCGCGGAACAAGATCGCATTATTCAAATTATTATAAACAAGATAATAGTATCAATTCTTTGACTTCTACGCGCTGCATAAATATGATACTTTGCCGCCTTTTTTTTGTATCAATTATGGTCGCTGTCCCATGATACCACGGAAATTTTCCTATCGTGACAATCACTAAAATATGTTTGGATTAATCGGTCCTTTAACCGCGTGTCAATAACAGCCAGTGGAACAAGATCATACTATTAAGACCACGATTACCAACGCTCTAATTAGCGTATTTGATAGTTGGCGACTTTTTCCATGTACACAATCATAATCGGTGTCATATATTACCGCGGAAGCAAGTAGCAATATGTTATGAATGTTTTACCTCAATCTAAACGTGAATGAAAAGTCGTTGGCAGTCAGCCGTGACCGACGCCGCTGCGAATGCGTCGACTTGGACGATTAGAGAACTGGCCGCTTTTTACGAGGTACAGCCTCTGACATAATCGCCGCCTTCCGTCATGGCATCTATCTAACCCTGATACGAGCGTTTAACGACGACGAATAATATGTATTGCCCGCCGAGATAAACCAAACAATGTAAATTGATCGCGGCGCATGCAAGCATTCCTCAATCTTTATTTAATTATTTGATTGTTGGTGTCAACTCTTTCTTTGGAACAATAATGTAAATGTAGGCTTTCTAGCTATGCTCGTAGTTGAAAGTATTGTTAAATTTGGAAAAGATTCAAAGTTCCAATACATGTATTCGTCTTCGTTTCGATCCCTCTAAATCTGAAGAATGAAGAAAATATGGAAATTGGTTACCAGTGGATTCTCAAGCACGGCCAGACTCGGGTAAATATATTTACAAAATGCTAGAATATTAGGAACTCGCGACCTGGCACTTTTAGGACGAGAAAATGATTTTAACCCTTTGACTTTGGCACGCTTTAAGCTGAAAGCGCTCACGGCGCACGTAACGAGACAGTTTCTATCCAACGCTGGGTTACGGAACGTTCTTGCGAAGCAAAAAGCGTTTACGACACAAATAACGTTCCTTTGAAGGTTTTTCTTCGTAAACTGGATCGGAGTAGTTCGTTACAAAAATAAATTTATGGAATATAATCCGTAGGCGAATATCCACGCTCTTTCGACTGCTTTCAGAAGACGTGTATGCACAGTCGAAAGGTTTTTGAAAATGCCCATTATCGTTTGTGTTTGTTTAACTTCTTAACCAACGTAAGATTCAACGTACGACAATAGGCGTTGAATAAAAATCAAGCTCCAGTTTCGCAACCGATTTGCATAAAAATTGGTAGCAAACGGGAAACCCGAGATAAAGCATTCGCAGTGTCACGATTTTGGCACCAATTTCCCCAGCTAGAGCTAAGGTTGGCCGACGTCTGCCAGCAGGAAGTTCCCAGAGAGTTTCTATCGCAGGAATAGAAACTGCAGAGACAAAAAAACTCGCGAACGTCAATAATTTTCACAGGAACAAGTTTCCCAACGTCGGACAGTCGCATTTCTGCGCGATTTACCGCCGACTTGGTGCAGCGTATAGCAATTCCGCGCGAAAATATTCGAATTCCTGGTCTTCGAAGCCTGAAGAACACCTCGGTCGGGAGACAGTCTCCGAAGATTTTCCACAAATTTCAGTTCGTAGTAATGAAACATTTCTTACCATAAAGGGAGATGTTCTGAATTAATAGTAATTCATTCCATGATCCAAACACTGATCTTTACTCTAACATTAAAACTTTTCACTCGTGACTCTCGTTTAATGGTTTCTCGATAAGATATTGCAAGAGATATATCAATGATCTACAAAAAATGAAGAATTCTCACGAATTAAGAAGAGAATCTTCCCAATTTTTGTGCATATCAAATCCGTTACGACACAAATATTCATAGAAAAAATTACGGTTGAGCTCTCTTCAGGAATTTTATCTTCGACTCGTTATCGGTGCTGCTCGAGTAAATAGACTCGGCCATCTCTGGCGACGAAAATTGGTGTTTGTCGCGACGTTCGGTTATAGGAACGTTCGTGGTCGCGATTTTAAAGGGGCATGACGTCAGTGATCCG